CCCTGGCTGGGCCCCTGGCTGGGCCCCTGGCTGGGCCCCTGGCTGGGCCCCTGGCTAGGCCCCTGGCTAGGCCCCTGGCTGGGCCCCTGGCTGGGTCCCTGGACGGGCCCATGGACGGGCCCCTGGGTGGGCCCCTGGGTAGGCCCCTGGCTAGGCCCCTGGTAGGGCTCCGGTGCGGGCGCCTCGCCGTGCTCCGTAGGTCCCGCAAGGACTTTGATGCAGTGATCGCGCCATGTTTGCAACACCTGCGTGGTGTTGGCGACCAACAGCCCCTCCTCGGCCCTGACCATGCATGCACGGGGGACATACCCCATCTTAGTTTTCCTTACCTTTGCGAAGAAACCACGTACATTCTGTAGCGAGTGGTCGAGCTCGAGGTCTTCGCATATTTGTTTGAGGTAGCGTCGCCGTACCCGTCGCAGCGTCTTCTTCCTCATCCGTTCCATCTCCTCGTAGCCTTCTCTGATATCCTCGTTGTGCACCTCCTCCCTGTGCCACCTCCAGATCGCGTTCCTCTGCTCGGTGACTTCGTCACACTCCTCGTCGTACCAGTGCTTACCCTTCGTCTGCTTGGCTTCTCCTAGTGTGGACTTACCGCTGACCAACAGGGCTGACGCCATCCACTCCCACATGGCGTGTATAGTCTCCCGTGGTGGCTTGTCCGGCAGGGTGGTGTCACTGGCCGGGCCTTCGGGTTGCTCTTTCGCCTCCGTGCTGCCCTCCTGCAGTAGCCGCGTCACCGACTTTTGAAATTCTTCCTTCACTTCAGGGTTGTTCAGGCGCTCCAGCCGCAGCTTCTTAGGTGACTTTAGCATATCGTGCTCTCGTTCCCTTTTGAAGTGCTCCACTTTCACCTTGAGCGTCGCCACGACAGCGGCGTGGTCAGAGTAGTTACACGCGGTCCAGTCCGTGCGCACACCTGTTACCCAGTTCCTGCGTAGGGTGTCTATCAGGATATGGTCTATCTGGGAGACATCCTTGCAGTTGTTTGAGGTCCAGGTGTAGCGCTCGCTCCTGGGCCGCGACGACGTCGTGCTCACCACTGTCATGCTAGCCGCGTTGGCGAAGGAGACCAGTCGCGCCCCGTTGCTGTTATCCTTCTTGTGGTACGTGTAGTAGCCCCTCGACTTGTCCAGGGGTGTGGCTGGGGGGCCCAACTGGGCGTTCATGTCTCCTAGGATTATCTTGACGCTGCCGCTGGGGAGTTCATTGTGTACTAACCTGAGAAGTGACTCATAGAACTGACCTTTTTCCTCCAGCCCCTTCTCCGACTGGCAGGGGGCGTGGCAGGTGACGAAAGAGATGGTATGGGTCTCCGTGCGCATACGCAGGGCAGCTATCCTTTTACCTCGTGGTTGGAAACCAAACATGGCGGGCAAAAGGCTCCGATGTACTGCAAAACCTACCCCATGGACCTTCTGCGTGCCTCCGGAGTAGAAGTACTTGTAGTCACCCATGATGAGCTCACCTTGTCCTGGCCACCTGATCTCCTGTAAGCCCACAATGGCGATCCCCATACGCTTAAGCTCCTTTGCCACATTTTTGGCGCAGCCCAGGACCCCCATGGTCCTCACATTCCACGTTGCGACCCGGATCGGCAGGTTTTTGGGCAATGCTGCCGGCCGGCCGTTGTCCCCCCGCCCCACCCCTTTGGCGGGCAAGTGCGCCGCATCCGCGGGCCTGTCCCGAGGCGGCGGGGTGGCGGGCGTGGGCTCGGGTACACCTACGGGGGTCTCCCGTTCTTTCCTCTTGGTAGTAGCCCTCCACCTGCACTTGTCGGCGGCGCTTACCTGTCTTTCTTGAGCCGTCGGCGCCGGCTTGGGCTTGGGGAGCGGAGGGAAGGGGTTAAAGGGGCTGCAGAAGTCGCCGTGGCTGGGCTCCCTTACCTCCCGCACTCTGATGACGCTGTCGTAGTGGACTCTCTCACCGCCACCGGCTTTGCTGACCCTGTAGATTATCCTGAGGGGGGGACCTGGTGTGCAGTGTGCTGGTGTTATTGTGTGTGCCTGTGGCGTGATGTCGATGTCGAGGGGGTCCTGCGCCTCGTAGTGTACAATGATTTCAGTCTGGTGGGCCTCGGCCAGTGCCACGAGCGCCTCCTCACCAAGCCACACATGGTCCTTCTCCAGTTGGGCTGCAAGGCGCGCGGCCGCCCCTGTCGCGTCTCTTATGCCGAGCTCGCCGTCCGGCCGTGGACCCACGAAGGGTTCATAGCCCCACGGGTCATCTGCCCAAGCTGCTTCCAGCGCCGCGACAGGAGGGAACGCCACCAGGTGCGCGACCACGGCCCGCCGCAGCTGGGCTGCGTGCCGGACATGGTCCTCGCCCCCCGCCTCCAGCCGTCCCGCACCCGGGACTCTACCAGTCACGTGTAGCTGGTGGCTTATGGCGTACAGCAGGCAGTTGCCATCAGCTTGCATGCACGTAACGTGCGCTAGCCCTTCTCTCACTCGCACCTTCTCCTTCGTGCCTGCCCGGGGCCAGCCAGGCTGTGGGTTGCGTTGTTGGTGTAGTAGCATGTTGTGGGGGGTGCTGGACGCCTAGGGGGTAGGCCACTGTTCCTACAGGGGTGCCTAGGATGGCCTTGGGTTGGGGGGGCCGTGGCACGCCTGACGCGCGCAGGGGTGGGGGATGGAGAGGGCGCAGTGGGCCCTGGGGCGCCGGCAAGGTAGGCAACACAACCTACGCCGGGCAGGGGCGGCCTATAGCCTCAGTGGCTTGGGCCGGGGGAAGGGGGGGGGGGTGCTGTGGTGCGCCTGGAGCACGTAGTGCTGTGGATGGAGAGGGCGTAGTGAGCCCTAGGGGAAGCGCGCCGGCAGTGTAGGCAAGCAAACCTACTCACGGCAGGGGCAGCGTACGCCGTAACAGGCGTGGGCGTGGGGCAGGGGGCTTGGCTGCAGAAATGCAGGGCGGATCCGTGCCGCCGGTGGGGTAGGCAACTGTAT